AATATACATATGCTATTACATGTTCCATATTTTTCCCTAAAAATTTTTAATATATGCCATAACGTGTTTACAACAATACTATTTTACTATGTACTACTGTTTACAATACCCAGTACATAACAGTATATAGTATAATATAAGCTAATTCTATTTTATATTCTACATTTCCTATCAGTCTGGTACATGTGGTCACATAGTTTGGGATACCCTCGGATATTGACCGATTCTTCTACATCTCGATAGGTCACAGCAACAGTGGTTTTAACGTTCGACGAGGATGTCGTAAGAGAGTCTGTTCAGCCGAACTTAGTAAGAAGAGCCACAGAGAAGGTGACCCAGAGGTAGATCGCAGAGAAAATGATTCGATTATACAGATCTCAGATCTGAGATCATTCCTCTTTGGAATACAGGCCGCTGAGTTTGTTTGATTATATATTGGCAAGGTTTCCTGAAACAACAGCTTTCGCCACCCGGATGCAGTAAAGGGCTTTGAAAATAATGAATGATGAATGAACGAACATAGTGTACCGTATATCGTACATGGTAGTGCAAGATATAATAGCATAGAGTCTGCATTATATTGTGCCAATATACTATTAATAGAAAATCTTAACACAGTATTTTATATTATTACAGTGTACAGTATATATGGCTGTACAGATGTTACATATCAGTACATTTTAAACGCACTTTTGATTTACATATAGAAAACATACAATGTGCTAAAGGTGAGAGTGTAGGATGCCATTCAGTCAGTTAAATTTTGTGAAATGAACACTAAAGCACACGACGAGTTGTATAAACTGGATATAACAAACTAAAAAACACAAAACAACAAAACAAGTAGCAAAAAAGTGAATCCACGTGAGCCTAATAAGAGTCTAATGGAAAATAATTGTTCCATTTTATGCGATTGATTAGATATCAGACAGATGCACATCATATTCTGCTATATATTCTTAACCCGACCGAAAAAACACGGTCGTTGCGATCTTGTTCAAGCAGCAAAGTTTTATGTAGCATGCTCTACATAAATATAGAATACCTTTTAATATATTGCACTATGGTACTATATATATAATAGAATGATCCAATTATAATTTAGTATGGTGCATACTACAAAAATGGTAATTGTATAACACTCAACCCGACGCGACCAACAATTCAAAGAATCAGTGGAAAGGAACGACCATCGAGGAGGTCGAAAACTTCAAGTACCTCTGCTCTGTACAGGTAAGACATGGAA